TTAACAGTTATATTATTTGTTGATATGAGAATTGTGTTTAAAGTATTCTTTAACTTTCTACCAGAGGCCAAAGGCGAGTCATGCGCATGTGAGAGAGAGACAAATTTGCCGCAGACTTTACATCTTAAACTACATTTAGCAAATGATATTAGCATGGTTAGCTTGTACTTATTTCATGGAGAATAAATGTTTACCATAAAGCAGCAGTATGTATTTTTTTTTTAAAAAAAACATGTTTTTACTTATTTGTTAAAACTATCACCATGTGGTGACAAAATATGAGACAGATAATCTGTGAAAAAAATTACCTCTGCTGCCTTCTTTCTATGGTCCTGCTGTCATCTGAACAAATATACAGCTCTGTCAGAAACAACCAATCAGAGGCAGGAGGAGGGTCTTACCGCTGTCAATCACCCTCACTCACTCAAATGTTCAGGTTAGTTAGCATAGTTACAATGGCAGCAGATGAACAGTTTTCCTGGAACGCCTAGTTATTTCTCCACCAGTAGCACATTTAGTAGTGCATACATGATGCTGATTGACAGTGCTAAGACCCTCCTCATTTCTGCAGATGGCAATAGTGGCACTGTGAGGAGGCAGAGGAGCTCGGTTTTCATATTAACCTGCCCCAAGATATTGACAGTTTTAACAAATTTGTAAAAAAAACAAAAAAAAAAACAAAAAAAACATTTTTGAAAAAGTTCCATACTCCTGCTTTAACTCAGTTCTACAAAGCTACCAGTTTTTCCAAATCTAGCAATTGCTGTAACATAAATAAGTGAAAAGATAAAATGACTAAAACAGAGCAGGTTTTATTTTTTTTTCTGTTATTTCCTTAAAGTGTCCCTCTCTCTCACTTCCTGTGAATCTGTGAGCATCTTTGTGCTTCCTCTGTGACCTCATGCTTAACGCCTCATCTAGAATCAACTTGCCAACATTTAGTTTTTTTCACCCAGTAACAGTGTGTACCCTGAAGTCTTTGGTTGATAGTATGATCTCAACCAATCAGTCATGTGTCTGGGCTGATCAAATTGAGAATCGCAGTAATTATGAAAATTAATAACTGATTAGAAAAAGCTGGCATTTTTTAAGTGTCCAATCAATTGCTCACATATCTGGGCTGATCAAATTCAAAATGACACTATTTGTGTCACCAGAACTTTTATTGGTGCATCTCTGCCCTTAAAACATTCTCAGTAGTTATAATTTATGCAGTTTTAAAATAAAAAAAACCTCTCTTCTCCAAGACAGTCCATTGGTTATATTTAAGCAAGTTGAACAAAGGTGCACAAGGCATATTTGCCTCTGTAACAGACTTTTGCGTTGCTGCAAAGGATATCGGAATGCCATCCTCAATCTTGGGCTTCTACAGTTTTGTTTTTTTTATTTCTTTGTAAAGTTATTTTTCATACACTTTGTTGGCCTTTGATTTGACATTTCAAACATTGCTGAAAGCTACTTTAATGTTTGCTGTGATCATTTGTATGTTCAAAGTTTTTTTTTTTTCTTTCAGCACCTTAATCTCTGATGGAGCATTTGTCACACACTGTGACCAATCAGTCAACTGTTTGATTTATTGCAGCATTATTACCATTTTGAATGCACTGACATGCATTTGTTTAGTTGCATTTATCAACATGAGTTTAATTGATTTGTGGCACTTTGTACCATAATGTCTGGTAAAAGATGTTCTTTCTTTGACATTTGAAAAATGTTCTTTGAAATTATTATGGTATTTTGTAAAGGATTTGAATCTGCAGCCATTTTATGAATGTCCCTGGTCAAAAATTTATTTTTTTATCTTTCAAGATTCTGAGAATGTCTTTTGTTGATACTGTTTTCAAATACTTTAAGCATATTGTATATAATTTTTTTCCCCCCATATGTCACATTAGTTTCTCTGTGCAGAAGTTCATTTTCTCTGCCTGAAAATAAGTAAGTTCTTGTGCCAAACCAGTGCTTGAAAATAGAACCACTTCTGAGACCAGTAACTCTTGTATATAAAAAAAAAAACTAGTTCTATGTTGCACCACCTGCTGGGCTGAGGAAAAAACATCAGATGCATTTCTTTCTTGCAGGTGCATTTCTTCTAATTTCCCTAAATTTTTGACATAAAAAATTTAGGTCAATAATTTCTTGACCTAAAAAATTAGGTCAAATTTTTTTTTTTTTTAAAGTTTTTAAGAAAACGCCCACTAATCTAATTTTCTTTTGATGCATGGCCGTTAAAAGAAAATTAGATTAGCATTGAGATAACACAAGTTAACTTTTTTCAAATTTTTTCTGATGTATTTTTATATACCGTCCATGGCAACGTTATACCTGCCATGGATGGTAAATACATGGTAGGTAATGCAGGAGACAGTTCAAAATATGTTCTGTGTTTAGGATGTGCTTCCTGTGGCAAAGCAGGCGCTCCATATAGGTTAGCTTAGATGTCCATGGCGTGACCCCTGACTTTTAAACATGCACTCCCTCTTCTCAGTCTTTTCCCCCTTTCCCACAGATTCTGTGGTGGGATTTATGTTTCCTACCACTAGCAAACCCCCCACCACACTGATTCCTGTCAATAAATGAAATCAGATGAAAGCATATGAAATCAGAAATGACAGCAGATTAGTCATGCAAGACTTTTCTGGTTCTGTTACCACCTGGCAACAAGCCACTTATCTGGTAAAAACGACACGATCCTTATCAGTGTTTTCATAGAACATGCTGTTAATGAGGACTATTTGAAGCAACATTTGCTAATTGAATTGTTAGCAACATAAGCTAATAACAATGAAGTTCTTAGAATATTCTGGCTCCAAAAACTAAAGGACCATCTTAAAAACAGATGATGTACATTTACATTAAGGCTATCAGAAGTGGAAATAAACTGTCTATCGCTGCAGCTATCAGCTATAACATCTTTGGGCGCTATCCTAGCTGTAGTTGGTGTAGAAAGTTGATCCAGGCCTCAACATTACATAAACCGTATGATGTATGTGATTTGAGGTTAAAATCCCAATATTTACTAAAGGATATTGTCAGGTAGATGTCAGTGACATGAAAAAAACAGAAAGTTGCTTTTTTTCAAAGTTTTCTGGAGAGCTTCCCACCAGCAACAAGCAGACAGTACTAGCTTAGCAGGCCCCATTAATGTGCATCATGATGAGGGAACTGTATTTTTCCATCAAGTATTCGTACTGAGGATTGATCTTATGTCCTGGAGTTGTTCTAATATAGATAAAAAGTCATTCATTGATTATCTAAAAAACTTTGATGGAGTTCTCATATCATCTGTAACTAAAGATGGTTACAGAAGACAAACATTTGCCTTTAATATATTTCTTTAATGTTTACCGTATTTTCAACACTATAAGGCCCACCTTCAAAGAATGGCCTAATACTTTTTTCATGTATTAGGCGCACCGCATTATAAGGCGCATAGAATAGACGCTCCATACTCTATTATTACACATCCACATTTACAAAGACTTGGTCCCCGAGTACTTTATATAGTAGGCTGGCCCAGTTGTTGTTTCACTCACGGTGTTGCCATATTATGCCCAACTGCTTTCTGGGTAACACAGACCAACCGACACGCTGCCGCTGCAGTCTCTCGTCCCCTGCCCCTCCCTCCCGGCTTTAAATGTATTATCAAACTTTATTAACAAACCAGCGTTCTAACAACTATCCCAGCATGCACCACACACTTCTTCTTCTACGGGGAAAAAGAAGTTGGCGGCTGCTTACCGTAGTGGACCAACTACGTAAGCAGCCTACTGCATGTCTGTGTAAACATGACGTCTTTCATTTCGATCTGAGTTAATTAGCGTAGCATTTCTGCCGGATTTTCACAACATATCAGCCACGACAATGGACAGGGGAACCAACAAGTTCATGTCATCTTTTTTGGACGACATCAAGGTGTTTGAGCGGATGCCTCCAACATTGTGCGCGTCACAGCTAAAAGCTACCGATAGATGAGGAAAATAGCAGATCCTCATTCCCTCAGCATAAATATAGCTGTGGACAAGATCACTGATGCCTACTGTTGTTGCAAGGCTGGGTAAGTCGGCATTCATGGTTTTGATGGTCCACAATGTACATTAGCATATGTTTACTACTGTAGCTTGAGACGGTCACGCACGTGGTAGCTGCACTGTGACCTAAAATGGGCATTAGCCAATGAAACACGGCCCCTGTGGTAAGGTCCTTTGCTGGACCTGTTGTGGCTCAATATTGGTCCATATAGAAGGCGCACAGGATTATAAGGCGCACTGTCGGCTTTTGAGGAAATTGAAGGTTTTTAGGTGCGCCTTATAGTGCGGAAAATACGGTATATGTTTTTTGTGGACAAGTGCAAAATTTTCAACAAACTACAGGATCATTACGGCATCACTGCCTGTCCAGAAGCTCATATGGATCAAACCCGTTTGGAAGCCTTTCAGACCCAAAGGTTTGTTGGATGTACTGCTGAACAGTCCACAGCCTCTCTATACAGTACAACTAACCTTTAAGGGTTTTTCCTCCAGATTGTGTTTCCTCCTTTTTTCTTTCTGTCACTGTCTCACTTTCTCATCAGTTGGCGGCCTACAGAATCATGTTTAGCTAATTTGACCTCAAGTCTCCAGTTTGGTGTACCTGTACACATGGCATTTTGAACTCTGAGGTTGAGGGTTGGTGGGAATCTACAACTTTTTGAGTCAGAACTCGAACTTCATGAAGCCTTCAGTGCAGACAGAATGCATCATAAGAACCACAACCTGGTTTAGCACAAGAACTTTGGTCTAAAATCCCTACAAACAACTACTACCTGCTAAACTGTGTCAGCTTAAAGCTAACACACCAAACTGTTTTAGAGCAGAGGTCTCCCTCATGCTCTTCCTCCTTATTTCCCTCCGGCCACAGGCCTTGTTTGGCTCACAGAGCATCCTGTTCTTTAGCATTTTTGCATTCATGAAACTGCGGCTACCTTTTTCTAAGCCTGTCTGTCCTTGTCTTTATTGTTTCAGGTATCATGACAAACAGGAAGTGACCAGTAACTTCCTGGGAGCCATGTGGCTCATCTCGATCACCTTCCTTTCTATTGGCTACGGTGACATGGTACCACACACGTACTGTGGGAAAGGCGTGTGTCTTCTTACAGGGATCATGGTAGGTTCCTTTTGTTTTCATTGAAATATATCATTAAATATGTGGAAGGAAAACTTTACTTTATAAATTTTTTTTGTTCAATCAAAATAAAATCTTGGATTGAGACCCTTAATACCTCTTTTACCTCGTCTTACACATGCGAATGCACTTTTACTCTCTTGGCGTCTATTTTTACTTGTAGCTGTGGTTAATGGCGCCCTGCAGAGCTCACTCATCTGTTCTGTTATTCAGCTCTCTCTAGAAGGACTGAGGATGGCCTGATAATTTGCTGTGCTGAAAGGTTAAACCAAGTTAAAAATGTGCCAGTTACTATTACTTTTGATTTCTTCTCATTTATTCATTTACTGAAACCACTCTGGCATTAGGCCTGCACAAAATAGTGGGTAATTATGAAGTGGAAATGCAATGATAACAGGGTTTTCAAAATCTGAAAAATGTGATGTGAATTTGTTTTTTTTAACCCCCATAGTTTGTTGATGTGCATTTTGTTCCCTCAGTTTGTAGCGGTGTGGCTCCAGCAGCTCCTTCTGCTGGAAAGGTTTGGTCCAGTCTTATTTGCAAAAGTTTCTCAATTTTCAAGACTTGTCTCAGATCCCCAGTTGGACTCAAGTCTGGACTTTGATTAGGCTATTCTAAACAACGAATACACTTTAATATAACCCTTCCTATTGTAGCTCTGGCTGTATGTTTAGGGTTGTCCTCACTATGTAAGGTGAACCTCTGCCCCAATTTCAGGTCTTTTTGCAGCAGCTAATCCATCTTCCATCAGTTCTGACCAGCTTCTAAGTCCTGAAGGTCAAATCCAGGTCATGTGCAGTGCTAGTTTTCCCAAACAAACAACATTGTGTATGTAGGCAAAACTGACAGGTTTCTTATCTGATCATAGCACCTTCTGTCTCCCCTATGTTGCTTGTAGAAAACTACAAAGGGGCTTCATTGTACAGTCTTATTTACTGTGACTGTGACAGTGGGGTTAATGAAACACAGATAACTTCTGATGGCAAATGGTTGCTAATTCTTTAGTTAGAGGTATTATACCATAAAGAGAGCTGAAAGTGCATGCATTTCCCACTTTTCAGATTTTTAGGGGCTTCCAGTGTTCTCATAATGTTAAAGCAGATAGATATAGTTCATGTTACATTTTCAGATGTCACCAACCAAGTGCTTTTGTGTTTGTCATTACATTTAAACAACAGGGGGCAGGTTGCACTGCACTGGTGGTAGCAGTGGTTGCCAGGAAGCTGGAGCTGACCAAGGCTGAGAAGCATGTCCACAACTTCATGATGGACACACAACTCTGCAAACGAGTGAGTTACATTTTCTACCTGCACTTACTGTAGTCTGCTACAGGTTGATGTAGCAGACTACAGTACCATGCTCAGATTAACTTACCATGACAAAAGACCCTTTTGTCATGGTAAGTTTTTAACCCATGACATTTCCTGCTTATTTTTGATCTTTTTAATTTCCATATCACCTTTCTAAAATAATGGCCGACATAATTTTTCCCAAAGGTTTTTTTTGCTGAAATGGCTTTTGGCAAAGATGACTTAGGCCATTATTTTAGGATGGGGACAATATAGAAACTCCTGATAATGTTTTAGAGATCAGAAGACTAAACCAGTGAAACAGTTATAGACATTTCAGTTCGGTCAAGTTTCTTTGTACATCACTTTTCAGGAGCAAGGCAGTTCAAAGTGCTTTAAATCATAAAAACAGAAATTAAAAGTCATAAAAAACAACATACAGTCACCAAGAAAACCACTGAAAGTTCAGTACAACTACCATTTCATCCATCCATTTTACACCCTTATCCCTTGGTGGGGTCAGGAGGGCTGCTGGTGCCTATCTCCAGCTAATGTTCCAGGCGAGAGGGGGGGTCACCTTGGACAGGCCACCAGTCTGTCGCAGGGTGACAATTTAGTTTAGTTTTTGGACTGTGGGAGGAAGCCTGGGAACCCACCATGCACATGGAGAACATACAAACTCCATGTAGAAAGACCCTTGGTTGGGAATCGAACCCAGAACCTTCTTGCTGCAAGGCAACAGCTCTACCAACTGCACCACTGTGCAGCCCACAACTACCATTCATAAAATACAAAACTATATTGATTATAGCAGATATATATATTAGCATTATTTGTATTTACCTAATATAATTTTATAAAAGTGACTTTTAAAAAAACTAGACTCTTCTTGTATTTAGGGAACAGAAACATTGTTTTTTTTTTTTTTTTAATTTTTAATTTAATGAGAACTTCAGAAGCCTCCTTTCAGCCAGCTAACCAGCAGTGCCCAGCAGCAGCTCGATACCATCTACAGCTCTATTTTTATTTAAAAAATTTTCAAACTAGCAATGCGGTATGATGGAAAAATTCAACCGGTGTGAGAAACACAACGGTAGACACACCTCCTAACGACAGTTTCAGTTGAGTGATTTGAACTCAGCAGGTTTTCACCGTGAAGCAGAACGTTAATTTGTACTTTTCCCATTTTCCAGCAGACACAAGAGTATGACGCTGACACTGTGTCAGATAGCTTCCACCAGTTTACCTTTATCTTGTATCTCCCATCTCCCACATGGTGCTGTTTAATCATTCAATCAGAAACTGATACACTGAAGCAGAGCCAGATCTGTGATATCAAATGTCTTTTTCACTCTTGTGCCTCAGGTAAAGAACACAGCTGCCAATGTACTCAGGGAAACATGGCTCATTTACAAACACACCAAGCTGGTGAAGAAGATCGATCACGCCAAGGTGCGGAAACACCAGCGCAAGTTTCTCCAAGCCATCCACCAGTAAGTCCAGCACTCCTGTTAGCTCATGAACGTTTTAAACTGACAATTAAAATCTCTCTGCAGAAAGTAAAAATAAGTTTCAATCTCACTTAACCTGTCTGTCACGAGAGGACCCAAATTTGGGTCCTCTAGTGACAGGGGTGTCAAACTCCAGTCCTCAAGGGCCGCTGTCCTGCAACTTTTAGATGTGCCTCTGCTGCACCACACCTGAAAAGAATAATTAGGTCATTAGCAAGGCTCAGGAGAACCGATCTACACAGGGAGGAGGTAATTAAGCCATTTCATTCCACTGTTTTTTACCTGTGGCACATCTAAACACTGCAGGACAGCGGCCCTTGAGGACTGGAGTTTGACACCCCTGTCATTGTGAATGACAACCTGAGACCAACAGGTTAAGGTTCTAATATTAGGCCTCATATTTGGTTATGTTGCTAACATGGTGAAAAAAATATAGCCATAGCTATGTATTATCACCCTTTAGAGCTGCTCCTTTTATTGTCATACTCACTTACATGTAAACTTTGACAGATACACGCACACAAACTCTCATACACCCACACACACTCAAAGTATTGTGATGGTCTTTCGTATTTCCCTGCCCTCCCTCTCCCTCTTTTACCCTGCGCTTACAACTACAAGTGTAATGGTTTCACTCGTTTCGTGAATGTTGTGAGGTTAAAACTCTGTACTGTGTTCTGTCCTTGTTTTGCTCTATCACCGCAGAGCTCAGAAGTAAGTTAAGTCTTCTATGTATCCTTCTCCTACTGTTTCCTCAACATTCTCCTCCTCCTCCACTCTCCATGTCTGCGTTTGACATGCATGAGAAAAAGAATAATAATCTTGGATGCTGATTTTTTTAATTATTATTTATTTATTTATTTCAGTGTTCCATTTCCTCCACTCTCCTTCCCATTCTCTCTTGAATGGAATGAGAAAAAACAAGCATCAACATTTTGCCACCAACACTTTGTGTCAGTAATTAAGGGTTGTCTAGAGAGAATGTGTGAAAGAAAAAGCTTCTCGCAGAGAGTGAGCTTGGACCTTTTATTGGCCAAGATCATCCTCATCTACCGCACAAGTATGACTAATATAGCTGCTCCCGGGGCTATATTAATCGTCATCAGCAGAACTCATCCCACACTCTTGATGATTTTGTGATGACATTTATCCAAACTGTGTAACATACTGTAGTTACATAAAGAAGCTGAACTGTTTGCTGTTGGTTTTTGTCTTTTTCCTCTCTAAAATAATCTCAAAGCAAACAATTTACAACACAAGAATCAAACTGTGTGTAAAAGTCTTTATGTTACTTGTTTTTAGATGCTAGTCAGTGTTAGACTTGGTTATGGTGGTATCAATTGACAATGTTATAACATGACGAAAAATATTATGATTTCAAAGCTGCTAAAATGTCATGCTTGCAGGTTTCTGCTAGTGTTGATTGTTTAAATTTAAGAGCTTTCTTGAGTTTTATACAAAGAAACATTCAATATAATAGAACATTAATAAATAGTTAAACTATTAAATACTAATCTTAAATGAATTTAAGATTGGAATATTATATCAGAACAATAAAAATACATTTTAATTCAGAAATGTATGTGTAATTTAAAGTATATTTAACAACTGCTTAAAGGTTGCTATTTTAAGCAAGGCAGGTTTATTTATATAGCACTTTTCAAGTCAAAGTGCTTTACATGCTGAGAACATAAAACAATACATTGCAGTGACATAACAGAAAGCAAAATTGGACTATAGACTAAAATTAATGATGTTTCAAATTAATATTATGGATACATCAGACAAGCACAACTCTGAACAAAATAGGTTTGAACTGTAATTTGAAGGAATTTAGTTTCAGCAGTTTATTCCAGATTAGTAGAGCATAAAAACTGAATGCTGTTCCTCAACGTTTGGTTCTGATTCTGGGGACGCAGAGTAGTGTCGTGTTTGAATTGGACCCAAATGCAGAGCAGAGCTGCATCGAAACAGAATATTTTCATAAAATGAAATAACTTACCGAACAAATTCAGATCTTGGAACATAGGAAGAAATCAGACTGGGAACCAGCAGAGTAACAAAAGGATCTAATAACAAATAATGAAGATCCAGGAGCTTACATAGGAGCTGCGTTTCCATAGCAAATGTGCACAAATCTTTTGGGGGGCGATGAGGAGGGGGTGTTTGCTTTTTATAGTTTTGTCACATCATAAAAGACCACCTGGATCTCTTGGATAAAACAAGAACAAACAATGAAAAATTTAATCCATTATAACTCTCAATGAATAAATTATCTTAAATCTGAACAGTCTTAAAATGTTTTAAGGCCTAAGCTTGTATCGTCAGCCTGTGAGTTAAATACAGATCCAAAGTGAAATGGGATTGTTCCTCTAATCAGAGATCTGCTCATTGTGCACAAAGATCAGTCATGGCTACGGCACACTTTCTGAGTGACCAGTGTGAATACATGAGAGCCTGCCACTGAGCTGCCTGCAGCACTGACCATCTTTTTCCTTTTGTTCATGTTTTACTTTTGGATGAAAACGGATAAGAATGCTTTTGTTTTTTTTTTATTTAAAACTGGATTTAAAGGTTTCTCTATGGAAGCATATTGCATTCTTCTGGGAAAACATTTGACCAGTTCAGTACTCAGATTCCTTTCTGACTTAAAACTAGGGGTGGGTGATTTGGCTAAAAATCATGACATCTGTTTCATTCTGATAAAATCATAGTCTAAATATAATTTCAGTCTAACTGTGTGATTATTTGGACTCTAAGCCTAACACTAACTCTTTGTTAATGTGGATAAAAGTGTATATGAGTCACAAAATTGTAAAAAATGGTTATTCAATTGAACAGCATTGGAAATGTCTATTGTAATTTATTGATATTTTAAATTTTTCAATTGCTGCCTTTCTGACTCTAAAATGTGATTACATTTTCCCTTTAGCAGAATATTTGATGTTTCTGTTAAGTTAGGTGCTCCAAAATCTACTTGTCGTTCATAGATACATATTCTTTCCTGCTGCACTTGTGTTGTAATTCTATATTTACAACCTAAAACAATGATAATGTTCAGGGCTCTGCAGTTCTTCATACTGTAACTTTGTTGACTTATAGAGTTTTTTTTCCTGGAACTTCTGTGGTATAGTCTCCTGTGTGGTGTTTTAAAGTGGATATATCCAGCTTTTAAATCTTTCCTTTTCACATGTAAATCATTCAGTTTATATGAAAAAGAACTGCAATGCTCTGGTCTGATTTCCACAGACCCTCTCTTACCTTTCCTCTGACGCATTTTAGAGCAACCCGTTTTGCTGCATTTTTTTTTAAAAATGTGAATAAGACATTTTATGCCCCTCCAGGTTGCACAACATTCCGCTCCACCCTGTTCGGCCATTTTGCAGTTTCATACTAATGATTCATTTATCTGCTAGCAGAGACACTTTTTATTAGAGATGACAACAACGGTAGACTTTCTATCCAACATGTCGGAGTCAGAATCTGACCCAAAGCAGGAGAAAGAAATCAGCGAACCTGCAGAACGACCATGGTGTTACTACTTACACCCTCAACATCCATACCAACTACCTATAATATGAAGCATAGTTTAGCTGCAGTGTCCAAGAATGTCAGATACCTTTTAAAATGTTAATGCTACCATGATATGAATGAAGTAAACAAAGCAGGACATAACTAAGGAGTTAGCTAGAGGGAGCATCAAGAACGTCACTGAATGCATTTGGATCATTTTTGTTCCCCAAAGACCAAACCAAAGCTCTATCATTTCTTTCAGAGAAAAATCTGACGGCTATCAAGACTTTACCAAAGTAATTTTTGGCTCATAGTGACCTTTGGGTGTAAACAGGTTAGCTAAAGTTATAGGCTATCACCAGCTTTCTTGTCGACAATGGTTCTTCAGGACGTCACTGTTCCTAACTTTTTTAGTTGATGTGTGTGTAGAAAACTTGGGATGGGCGACATAGACTTTTAAAATTACCACCGGTTGTCATGAATTGTGTGGTGTTGGTGGTGGGGATGGACACGGCTGCACCCAGGTTATGGTGAGAATGGTGGTTTTAATCAAGAACACTGAAATCCAGGCAGCACAGGTGAGCAATGAGACAAGGAAACGCAGACACTGGTAACACTGGTAGTTACTAGACAACAAAGGGAGGACATTAAACACACAACACGACAAGGATCTGACAAGGAGCAGGGGACACAGGTGGGATTAAATACACAAGGGGTAATCAGGGAACATGAAACACAGCTGGGAGCAATCAGAGGCAAAGGAGACGACACAGGAACTAAAGAGACAGAAAACCAAATCCTCATTGCAAAACAATAATACTGTACTTAGTCATAGTTTCAAATATATTCATATTGACTGGCACTCTTCTGAAACAAACTGGGGCTATGGTTACTGAAGTGTTAGTTTTGTGTTTGCAAACATTATTAGAGTTAGTTTAACCTGGTCTATACAATTGCAATTGTCATCATGAAACAATTTGCATGAAAATGATTAATAATACAATAATTGTCAATCCTTTGGCAAGTCTAAGTTTTTTTTCCATATTGCTAATGCTTGGCTCACACTGTAAGATTTTAATACAGTTCACCAATTTTCCAAACCTGAGACCTCACAAACGACGATGAAAATTTTTAGGTATAACGGTTTTGGTCATGCAGTGTGTTGTGTTCAGTCACACAACAGGAGCAACACATTACATACAAATCAATTTCACTCACCAACATTCAGATGTCATGTGAAATCTCGCAAAACCAAGCAAGAGTTCAGAGTAAATAAACATGGCTGACTGAACAGAAGCAGTGGCAATAGTTTGTGGAAAATATTTGATAGAGAAAAAAAACGATACAAAGCTGCCTCCAGCATCCACAGGACTTTCTGGTGCTTCATGGCAAGTTGTTTTGTTTTCTGTGTATGTTAGATTCCCCTCCATGCTTTACATCACTTTGCTTTCTGATTAGCTACACGTCACATTCAACAGTCTGTTCTCATTTGTTGTCGGGGAACAACACACATGCTGCGATATTGGGCCAAGACAATCCAACATGTCCTTCTGAGAGGACCAGATCACTCTTAACACATCTTAAGGTTATTCTAAGAGCCAGCCAGCATGCCTAGGTGGGCCCCATGTGGGGAAAAGGAGGGCAGACTATATGGGTCCCATATGGGTTTGTCCGCGGGTTCCACGATGGCCCCACATGGGTTTGCCCATGTAGGGCCAGAGCCCACATGGGCCCTGCATGGGCCCTATATGGTGGTGGCCCACATGGGTTTTGTCCAATTAGGGCCCATGTAGCACCCATGTGGGCTGTGGCCCTACATGGGCAAACCCATGTGGGACCATCGTGGAACCCGCGGACAAACCCATATGGGACCCATATAGTCTGCCCTCCTTGTCCCCACATGGGTCCCACCTAGGCATGCTGGCTGATGATGTCTTTAAGATTGATGGAAGGAGAAAACTGGGACAAAAATCAGCATAAAAACCTTGAACTAAGCATAAATGTTGAGTTAGTTTGTTTAATTGACTATTTGAGCTGTTTCGACTTTAGGACAATTCTTATATATAGAGTTAATTTTGCCCCCAACCTTCTCCTAAAAATCTAATTATATTAGTTTGTAGATTTCAGAGTCACAGGATTCTCTGTGACATAACAGTTGGTACACAGACCTCAGTCTCTGCAGTATAATGGTAGAGAAATGATAAGATAAACAATAAGTTGCTATGCAACCCTTCCGGAACATTTTGTCATTTTATTGATGTAAGTTTCTACCATCCAGAGTTAACCTGCAAATAAAGTTAACTTTTTCTTTTTTCACTGGTACCTCCCTGTCAGGTTTCCATCAGTTGCATATTCAGTGCAGCTGTAAGAGAAGTAATGGAGCAGTTAAAGCAGTGAAGTCTGTTTAGGGTGATTTGATTTATCATTTTAACTGTTGTAAGCTGCAGGATCATGCTGCCAAAAAGAGGGTCGAAGATGTTTTGCATTTTCATTCATATTCTTACGTAAATCCACCAGAGAATGTAATGAAAACGCAGTAGAATTTTAACACAAAGTTACTGATTATTTGCCAGAGAAACGCTGTGTGTTCTGTGAGGCTTTAACATTGCTGTACTCAGAATACCTCTCCTAAAAAGTAGCTAGAAGCCTGCCCCATCGCCCACCCCTACCTGCAACAAGACAGTAACTCAGAATCACCTTCCTTCACGTCAGTAATACCTGCTGCTCCCTGCTGCTTTAAAATGTTTTTAAAAAAAACACAAGTTTTTAAAATCACTGAAAATGAGTGTAGTATGCTTCTGTACTTCTGCATGTTTTGGTTTGCAATGTATTTACTAAGACCAAGTATGCTTGCTTTTATGCACATCTCCTTGTATTCTATATATACATATACAGTTTTACAAAGTATATGTATGTTCTGATTTCAAAGATATTTTTTACAATGCATGTGTTTTATTTGAGCTTGATTGATATGAGAACACAGCTAATAAAATGTATTTTCCTCCTTTTTCTTTCTTCTTTACTGGCCTTTCTTTCCCCTTTTTTATTCCTGAAAACCACATATCCTCTCCTTCTTGCTCTCTTTTCTCCACATTTATCATTGCATCCGTCTTTCTCTACTTTGCCTTCTATCTTTCTCCTGTTAACATCCCCCCTTGCCCCCACCTAGACTGCGCAGCGTGAAGATGGAGCAGAGAAAACTCAATGATCAGGCCAACACCTTGGTGGACCTTGCAAAGGTAAGCCTTCTTCCCTTTACAAAACAAAACCTTCTATACTAAGCTGCTAAAATCTTATCGCAAAGCTGATTTGGATAAAACTATATAATAGTACCATAATTTACAAAAAAAAAAATCAAAATTTCATATTCAGAAAGATGCAAAGTTACAGAAAAGCGTTTGGAAGGTGAAATTAAGACAAGATAAACATGAGATAAAGGCTGTAAGACATCAGACACTAGAGAGTGTAAAAAGCTGCATAGGTGTCAAAGAGAATTGTAAAGAAGATAAATGAAGAAATGTACACATATGTCATAGGATCAAGTTAGCCTGTTAAAAACTTTCGCCTTGCTTTGTACAGAAGCTGTGAACTCTTGGCTGCTGATAAACGATTGCTTGCTGGAAGCATGGACTCTGTTGAATTTTTAAACGATTGGATCTGATTTTACTCAGTTGTTAACATTTGGAAAACTAAAAAAGGTAGAAAACTAGAAAAACTACCTTTCTAGTTATTTTCAAATTCCAGAGGAGAGCTCTGCACTAAATATTAAGCCAGGAGCTAAATATATAGTTTCAAATAGTGACTGTTGTTATGAATCAATTGGTAAATGTCTGTACTAAAACAGCTCACCCTGTTCTATAACATGTACAACTAAAATGTTGTATGTGCTAAGTATTTTGTTTCAAGCGAAATATTTGGCTTTATGCTAAATTTTAGTTAGCATATTTAGTTTGAAGCTAAATTAAATATTTAATTTGTAAAATAATGAATGGTTTGAACAACATGGTAGAAAATATGATTCTGTTTTTTTCACTTATGACAAGCTAATAAACAAATTATTGCTGTTAATTTTTGAATGTGTAACTTTACAGACAAGAGAAACAAGCAAGCAGCAGCTCAGCAGCTTTGGGTTTGTTGGAAGTATTTGAAAGTCGAAATATTTGGCTAATAGTTTTTCCATTGATTATAGGAAGGGCATAAATATTTTGCCACATGCCATTTATTAATACAAAGTAGATTAAAGGGATACTTTGTTGTTTTATTATTTTTTGAAAGATGCATGTCTGATTTCCTGTTAGAAACAAACTTCCTGGTTGAATCTCTGAATCTGCCAGAGGTAGGAATAATTTTAGCCTTGACCGTATTTACCCCCTTGAAGTTTAAAAGTGTAATTAAGCTCAAAAACACACTCACCTTTTTATGATACACATAACATTACAACTGTAACAGCAAATTCTTTTGACATTTCAACTGTTGCAGATGCACATTCTGTAACATTGGTCCCACTGCTGGCCCTGCAGAACAATAAGTGCCTTTATAATAGAAACCCTTTTAATTACATAAATGGATCTTCTCAATCAAATGCATAAGGTATTAAAAGCCTATAAATGTATAAAAGGCTATAAATGTACTGGAGAGGCTGGTTGTTAAATGTATGAGATGATATAATCTATGCTGACATGCTGAAACTCTGTGGCTCCAGTTCTTTTAGCTTCCTGATACTTTTAGTTTTACTGAGTAATGATCTTAGCTGAGTGTTGGATTTTATGATGAACATGGAGCTGTTTTTCATGCTTCAGCTTTTAATATTAGTTCATGTCCAATGGTTTTCTGGATTTTGAATTGTGAAACAATTTTTTCTCCTTCTTCCTGTTCGCCCTGAAACACATTTCCTTTGTCTCCCTGGTCAGACCCAGAATGTGATGTATGACCTGGTGTCGGAGCTGCAGGAGCGCAGCGAGGAGCTGGACAAGCGGATCGGGACACTGGAGGACAAGCTGGACTCGGTGGCAGGCAGCTTGCAGGCACTGCCCTGCCTCATCTCCCAAGCCATAACCCAGCAGCAGCAGGACTTCCTGGACGGCTTCGTTCACCGCTTCCGGCCTGCCTCGCTAGCGTCGGAGCGCTCTGAACACTCAGACAGATCTTGGACTTCCACCACCCGTAGGCGTCGCTCTCCCTCCACAGCACCACACACATCTTCTGACAGTGGATAACCTTGAGGAACCCTGTGTTAGTCCGCCCTATCAGACGGCACCTTTTTTCCAAACCCCCCCCCCCCCCCCTTACCACATCCTGTCCGATCCAAAGCCGTTCCTGCATCCACTGCGAGTCCATGTCTGGACTAATAATGAACCATATCTTGAACCCGTGACCTGATTCTCACCTCTATTCTCTCTCTTTTTCTTCCTCTCTGTCTCTCTCTTGCTCTCCCTCTCTCTCTTTTTCTCTCTCTCTCACCCAGTCTCTGCCTTTTTTTCCATTCTCCCACGTCAACCCAAAAAAAAAAAAAAAAAAAAAAAAAAAAAAAAAAAACCAAAACCTCCAAAAACCCTTTTTTCTGTGAACGAGCCCC